TAATAATGCAATTGTAATCTATTGTTAACCTGATTGGTCTGGATTATCTCTGTTTCCAGGCCTTTGCTAATCAATGATTAGAAGTTACCTGCAAAGCCTAGTGGACTGTTACTCTCCTGGACCCGAAGTGAATATCGTTGACATACAGAATGTTTTGAATGGTGAAGAAGTTCAAGTAGGGAGCTACATCAGCATGCGTAGGCTGCAAAGGAACAAGTAAAGGTTTATCCCAGGCTGAAAAGACTGGAAAAACTGAACAAAACGTTGTGTTTCTTTTCTTCTCTTTTCAGCCTGGAAAAAACCTTTACTTGTTCAATGTTTTGTATGATGCACACCTTTCACAAATTAATCCACTAATCGTTCTGCATAAGAATCACCTGGATTCTATAACTAAAAACACTAACTTTTGCAGAAAATGTATATAATGTACTTCATTGATTTGATTTGAAGACCTATTTCACTGGAACGTTCAACACAAATTTTACTGACCTGACAATAATTTTCAATTGCACTGTGGACTTGAGTACACTTAACTAGCCCACTTAACGAGCCCTTAACGAGCCCATTGCACCAATATTGGAGGATCCAATGAAGAATGTGAAGGTGATTTGCACCATGGCCCCTGGTAACAGCGTGACCACCAACAGCCCTGTTTTGACATTGACTAATGCCAGGGTGCGAGTGGGTGAAACATGGAGGTGCTCACCTGATCCGGCCGAAGGACGTGAGTCAGCTGGTCACCTGGCAGGATGGCCGTTGCCGCGGGGAGTTCCTGTCAGCCCTGCCGCAGCCCGACGCACACCTCAGCGTGGCCACTGGCTTCGGCTGCGCCACCATCTGCTGGTACCGCAGCCACAGGTAGAGTAGCAGCACACCACCCGTCCTGCAGACAAACACATCAGCAACTATGAGGTGAGCAGTGTTAAAACTGTCGTCCTGCTCACAGTTCTGAACATCAGCACCTCGTGCCATAATTTCATAATTACAAGGTACTACATGAAGTCTTTTTTTTCCTTGCTTCCCTAAATATCTACTTCATTGTGGACAATCCTGAATCATCAGTACAAACACAGGCGCTGGTCATGGACAGCCTGTGGTGTCCCTTTCCAAGCAGATCTGGAATCAGTTCCAGTTTTTCAGTTCCTTTTCCCTGCTGAACTGTCCATGTGAGAAATCAGCTGGATTATGTTATGATCTTGAAAGAGATAATTGGACGTGAAACACTGGGACCAATCCCAAACCTGGTTGGGAGTAGATAGTAGAACTCAAAAGATCAGTGGATACTTAAGTCCAATAGTTGCCAGTTGACAAGGGTCTTAACCATTCCTTGTCTTTTGTTGCTTCTCCCTAATACTAGGAACTTTCTCCTCCTCCTGGAAACTGGTAGATCAGTTCAATCCAATCTAACTTGATCTGGTGAAACTTAAGAACAATATTCTCTGCTTCTCTGGCAATGCAGGCCTGATTTCCTGGCAGACTTCACTGCAGCTGGGACCATCCAGGACTATGTGGTGGCCACGCTGTGTGGCTTGGAGAGGCCAGTGATGTCCATCCAGAACGCTGCCAGCTGGGGCTACTTCAACACTTGCACTGGCCAGTGGAACGTGGGCTTGTAAGTTTCCAGCACGTGCCGTAGTATTGAAGTGTTAATTTCCCTTCCAATTATGGATATCCACCAGTTTCTACAACATTCCAAAACACCTGTAACAGATGTGCGATTTGCAGTGTTTGGCCACTAGGGGGTGGTCTTTACAGGAACATGTTTGCATAATCTTACAGTTCGGATACACACTGCACATACAAGTACACTACTGCCATTTTGCTATTTTTCAGTGTACAAAGCATGAATTTCTATATATACAATATCAGTAGTAAAGGTATGAGGAAGGTTGCTGGAAATACAAATATTCAATATACTATTACTTCACAGAGCCATGTTGACCCATCTGTGCCCCCCCCCCCCCATCCCTAACCGCAGGGTCGAGGTTGGCTCACTCACTCAGTGAGCTTTGTCTGTGCTCCAGGCTCAGGCAGGTGGGCTTCCCTGTGGAGTTGCTCCCGGAGCCGGCGGAGTCTGGCACCACTGCAGGATCCACCTCCTCCGAGTGGCACGGGATTCCCGCGCACACCCCTGTGGGAGTGGCTCTGGGAGACTTCCAGTGCTCCGTGTACTCCTGCATGGCCGGCAGGACAGACGCAGGTAGAGCAGCACCTTGCCTGGTAGGGCCTTGCCCTGATGTGCCACATGTGACTCGTCCGAGTAACCCGTGTAAAGAAAAATCGCCCTTCGTCACAGGTCTCCCCGTCGTTAAAACTGTCGCCCTGCTCTGCTCCACAGTTCTGAATATCAGCACCTCGGCCCAGCTCACCTTTGCTCTGCCTGCTGACTTTGAGCCCCCCAGGACCCCCGATCCCCTCTCACCTGTGTCCTATTTCCCCTATTTCGATGGCACCTACTTGGCTGTGGCTGCTTCGCTCAATGGGGGCAATGTGATGGCTACCTTCGTAGGAATGCTGGCGCAGTGGACAGGAGAATTAGGTAGGGTCAGAATAAAAAGGGATGACACTCACATGTGGATTTTGAGTCTGTGACACTGTTTTACCCCTGCCTGGTTGTGGAGAAAACCTCATTACTCCCTGTCACTGACGGTTCTTAAGGACGATGTATGGTGGAGTTTCAGATCCCTGTAACAGCAGGCCTCTTGGTTCCTGCTCACACCACAACTCTGCCATTCTTGGTTTCCTCCTGAACAACATGAAAACAGGTTTATTTTCGTAGTTGGTAGGTTGGTGGGTTCTCAATCCCTGTATGAATTAAGAAGTGGAAAAATCAGTATGCCTGGTAGCCTTAGGGGCTCTGTAACTCAAAATAACTGGTAAACAACTGGCACAAGTTCTACCCCACGTGCAGGGTGAGCACTGTGACCACTGGTGTGAGCCTGGGTCAGGACGCTAGACTGTGGTGGCACACAATTGGCTGAGCACCTTTGAGGGTAGCGCAGGGTTAGTTGCCCAGGTTTGTCTCGGCTCTCCCAGACTCTCGGAGACTCTGGGACCCACTGTGACCCCTGAGGCACTTCCGGGCTAGTGGTGCTGTCAGCGAGTGATGCAACCCTCCTCCAATCAGTGCCGAACCTCCACTACAGGGCTGTGCTGTTTGTGTCGTGTTAAAAGATGATTGGCTCAAAGCTGGGGTGGGTTATAGGAGTCTGCCTACCCTTCCTCATTCTCACCACTGTGCGGCTACGAGATGGCTGTGACCACAGACTTGAAAAACACACATTTAGCGATTCCATATTAGGCGGGGGAAAATACCACAACATACTCTAAATCTAAAAATTTGCAACTCCCAAGTGAGGAGGTAACACTGATAACTCGTCTGACATGAAAGATCTTTGTCTTTAAGGGGTGGACCTCAGTGATGCCATTATCTATTCACGGCTGATCCAGGCTGCCCTAGGTGAGAGCAGCACGGACCTGAAGGTCTGTCCAACCATCCTGGGAGAACGTCATGACACCAGCCACCTGGGTCTGGTGTCGAATATCTCGGCCTCCAACGTTTCGCTGGGCCAGGTGACCCGGGCAGTGTGCCGTGGCATTGTCAACAACCTGTGCTCTATGCTGCCCCCGAAGACGCTGCTGGAGTCTGGCGTGAGGAGAGTCATGGGGAGTGGGAGTGCGCTCTCCAGAAACGAGGTTCTGAGGCAGGAAGTTGAGAGGGCGTTTCCACTTCCTGTGATATATGGAAAGGATGTAGATTCGGCTGCTGGTGTTGCTATGGTGATGAATGACAGAATTGACTTGGAGAAAAGAGGCAGCAACCAAAACGAAAACCCAAGTTAACGCAACAACCTCCTATGTACTGAAATAATTTCTCTTTATCGTCGTGAAATTCATGGAAGAAAGTAGTACTTCTGCAGCCCTTAACACCGATATGGGGTTTAACACAATCCATCTAACACCTTGGTTCCAGTGTTTGAAGAGACTGTTGAGCTAATTTTCAACCATTTTTTTCACATATTTACAAATAATTGAGGTTAAACTGCAGAAATGCAGTGAATAAATCTCAGAATAACTGAGTGAACTTAAATGCAAAGCATACAGATAATGAAAATGTTGGATTTAAGAGAATGTGAAAGGATAAAAAAGAAAATGATTTAAAGGAACAACTGAATGTTACAGTAAAGTTATGAAGTTTACAGGAAACCCTGGCTTTGTAAAACAAATATCAGTATGAACTGATAGAATAAATGAAGAAATAATAGGGCCAAAATGAATTCATCTCCAGTACAACAACCACCAAAGCGCTATAGGACAAACTGTCAGGAAGACTTTTGAATACTCAAAGACTGACAAATGTACTTGGATTAAAGTGTGGCACACTGGCAGAGTATTGCACAGAAAGAAAAACTGGTACCTGCATATCAGAAAGATCTCTTCGCTACACACTTTCAGAGAATAAAGTGTTGAAAAGCTTATGTCATTAACATTCCTCTGCTTAGTTGTTTTAATTACATTACATTATTTTCACTTCTGTGTTATTTAATGAAAAGAATGAAATAAAATTTTAAAATATTCTGTGTGTATTTCCTGCAGTACGTTTTGTGCTACAGATGCTTATTTGGTGTACTTTCAATGCACTCCAACAGAAATCAGACTCTCTATTTTGTGTCACCGAAGCTAGAGGAGCAATTTACATGCTGTTTGTTTTTCTAGCACGAAGAGACAGACAGCATTTCATTTAGTTACCACAGAAGCAAGGCACAAATGCATAATGCAGTTATAGGATTCCTTCCCAATTAGGCTAATGAAAGAAGATCAACTTTTCTTCTCCTGAATTAAATCTGAGCTCCTGTAATTCAATGCAGTTCCACCCTCTTGAAGGTAAGATCTGCAGATGACTCATCAAGTCAATAGCTTCTGCTTTGTCATGGCCTGTAATGAGCTGAGCATATTTAAGTAGTATTAGTCCATGTCCAAAATTTAAGACCTTAATTGTTGAAAATTCAGTGGATCTGTGTTTTTAAGTGTCCCACAAAACGGGCTGTTACATCTGTCTAATTTCTAATTGCTTTATCCAAATACAGGGTCATGGGAGAGCATGAGATCTATCCCAGCAAGCAACAGGTGCAAGGTAGGAAATACCCTAGACGGGGCTGACAGACACAAACACAAACCCACATCAGGATCAATTTTCCCAGAAGCCGATTAATCTACCTGTACATTTTAAGACTGTAGGAGGAAACCAGAGTGAGCTGTTTTTTGAAGAAAAAAAAGCTGAAAACATAATATGCCTGTACTGATGGATTCTAAAACTGTTTTAGTTGTTTTTTCCTTTAAACGACACGTGAAAAAGGAGCTCCCACCCAATCAGGAGCAGGATGAGCGAATAATGGCATCACCCTTCACCCTTCATACACTCTTCCTCATTCGACAAAAGTCATTGACAGTTGGTAAGAGACGAGGGAGTCGAGAACTGAGCCTTGAGGGACATTTGTTGTGATCTGTAGGGACTTTAAAAAGAACCTTTACCCATTTCTACGCGGGGAAAAAAAAGTTGCTAAACTATTTGTGTCCTATGTAAAATGATAAGAGATGGCTTATAAAACAAGATAATTGCTCTGCTCTGCTTCCTCATTTGCTCCCTTGCAATTCTTCATTTAATCTTGAAAAGCAGAGATTGTGGCGTTATCATGGAAACAAATGAGACTGGAGATGTTTTTAAAAAATGTTATTTTTTTAATAACTCACTTCACCCTAAAAGGTACAAATCGTTCTCTTTCTTGCCTTTGACAATCACCAACTTCTGCAAATGTAAATCTGCCTGCTTCTGGAGATCACTGAGTCAGAGCAGAAAGTTAATGAACCACAGACAACCCAACTATAGAAAATGCCATTTTTGCTCTCCGGTGACGTGAACATCTGTGCATGGCAGCTATCATCTTGAGTTTTCCGATGCCACATCCTGTTTCAGGCAGCTGGTGCAGCGGGGTTTTATTTTTGAAACCTGTACATGACAATACCAACCTCAATAAAAAAAAAAAACTATAGCCCTGAACAGCTCAGTGATCTGGAGGATAAAGAGTTTGAATCTCTGTGTGTGCAAGTACAAGATTCACGAAGTGTAAGCTTTGGTGCAGTATTGATGCAGCTTTGGTGAGTATTAATGAAAGAAAGATATGCCTTGACCCGTTGTGTTTTTCAGAAGAGCAGCAGGTGTTTTGAGACAGTAAGGAGAGGTATGTCAATGAATTAGCCTTGAATGGCACAGTAGTTTAAGGGAAAAGTGGAATTAATTTGTGTTGACTTGACTTTCCAGTTTAAGAGAGTAAGCTTCTGAACAGAACCATTCAGCACAGGTGCTAGAGAATATTGAGAATATTAAGTGCTATGAAATATTCTGGCAGTTTTTCTGTTGTTGGAACCACATGACATGAAGTGTTAGAACAAAGGCATTTCTATGATACTGTTAGAATAATCATGCTTTGAAGTTGAAGTGCTGGAAACCGTCTGAATTCATGTTAGCTTATGGCATCTTGTATTGGAATTTCACTGAACATAGGATGGAGAACCAGGACAAATCCCTTCACCACACCCAACTAAGTATTAAGGCAGTATTAAGTATTAAGTATTAAGGCAGGTAACCTGCAGTCCTTTCCCAGCGTTTTCCAAATCCTTTCTCTTTCACATCCCCCCCCCCCGGCAGCAGCATCCTGGCACATTCCACCTACTTGAATTTGTGGGGGGGAAATGCCTTATCCTGATGGCCAAACTGTTCTTCGCACTCATGTTTCTCTCAGATTGCTCACCCGACTAAACTACTTTTTGGTTTGGCTCAAGTTAAGTCACATTTATAGCACTAGCTATAGTTTCTTTGCCCTAAAGGAGCATTTTTCATAAATCCATACTGACAGAGCTGTAAGACATAGCCTTGGGCTCGATGACCATCATAAATGTGTATTTTAAGGATCATTGCATGGCAGCTTTGCACATTCTGTATGCACACGTTTATCTGCCTACATCAAAGACATGAAAGCTCTGAAAGGAAACCACTATCTGCTATAGCGTAATAATGGTCTGGTATTGAAAGCACTAAAAAGACTCATGACCCCAAGGGACTCCATCCCAGTCACTGGGTGGAAAGGATTTCCTGTAAAGACTCAAGGAAAAACATAGAAGAACTGCACCACAGAAGTCAAATCTCACCACATCTACACCCCTTAAAAACATTTTATACACAGAAGATTCTAAATTAGAGGAGAGTGAATATATTGATTAAATTAAATTCAAATGGAAACTTTGTTTTTAAAGGGAGCTACTTGTAAAAAGAAACCAGAGGGTATCGGCTTCAACAATATGCATGTCTAGCTTGTTCCAGACTCTCACTACCCTCTGTATAACTGAAAAGTCTCTTGTTTTCACTCTTAAATTCTTTTCTCCCCATAGTGTTCTGTTGCATTATCTCATTTGTGTTTCACTGTTAATTTTGAACAAATCTGATGCTTTGACTTTGTCAGGGCCTTTGAGGATTTTGAATGCCTATATCTGGTCAATTCGTAATCTTGTCTGTTCAAGATTCATAAGGCTCAATTCCTTTAATCGATCAGTGCAGGATATTCACTTAAGCCCCAAAATGTAAAAGAGTGCTCTTCTCTGGTCTGATTCCAGAGAAGCAATATCATTTTTTGTAAAGAGATAATCACAATTGAACACAATGTCCTAAATGAGGTCTTACTCATACTATTTTTACATAACATCCATTGATTTCATTTCTACACTTGGCCATATAACCAAACTTTGCTTTTGTTCTGCTTCCACACATTGCCACAACAAAATAAAAATGATGAGTCAACATAATCTCCTACATTTTAATTTCAAAGAGGACTCTCCTGTAGTTTATATGTAGGAACAAGTACAATATTATTTAAAAAATGAATGATTAGATATTTTTTTAAATCTGTCCCTCTGGTATGAGTTAGTACAAAAAATTGAGTGTCATTAGTAAGAAAATGGCTTTTTTACTCAGTGGCTTTAACAGAACCAACAGAAAGACGAAGAGGGACTTGTGATTACTGGTATGTGGGAAAGAGGAGCAGAACAACCTCAGACTAGATCCACACAAAAGAAGTATTATTGCTTGTTGTCAAAATAACTTTGTCACAACGTGTTTGCGATGCTAGTTCATAAACCACAGCAAATTTCTACCACTTCTTTAAACCCAGTCACATGCATGACATAACACTGCCACAAAAAGGCAAAGCAGAAAAAGGTTTTGGGAAGATTTCTGGAGACATCATTGGAGGGCAAACAGAACGATATGATAGACGGCAGAATGGTTTCTGTTTACCAGGAGAGAAAGATTTAATTGTGACAGGCTATCAAAGACGATCCAGGTTTAGGTAAGCTTACACTTTTGCATGAATCTGATTAGCATATTGCGAGCACCTCTGCTGTTTTTATAGCCTTGAGAATTTGTATCTAAAGCTCTTAGGATTCTGGTAATTCATCTTAGGCAACTCATATGATCATTCTACAAAATATTTGTCTCTGTTAAGGTAACGTGAGGACCTTGAGTCTTTGATTGACACTGAAAGTTCTCAAAAACAAGTAGATTTGCTTTTTTTTATTAATATATGAATATCTACATTGTCTTGTGTCTTTTTCTAAAATGTTCTAGTGGCAGGAAAATATTTTAGAGTGACGTCTCACAAAAGAAGTCTAAAATCTACTGTAAGGACTGTGTGTCCTGAAACAACACACTGTTTCGGTCAATAGCTACTGTAAATTACATCTGGACTCCAAGAGCTATGTGCGTATAATTGGAGGCAAGAATATACATACAATTTTTGATACAGTGATTCATTTTGACCGAAAGACATTCAATAAGGACCAGGTTAGAAAAAACGGAGATCTTGGAAAACGTTAGAAAGAAAGGAGACAGACGCAGGGGCCATTCCAGGCGTGTGAAGAAATGCAGGAAAGAGCAGGAATATGATACACAGAGAAACCAATCCAACAGGCTCAAAATGCGTAGGAGGGATCCAGACATCCAGCATAATGCACAGCATCTTCTCTATAATCGTCATCATGGAAGGAGAGCAGTATATTTCCCGATTATGCTGTGGTGACACAACCTTTATCTAGAGAATTGTTCTAACTGTACTAACATGTCAAGGATGGATGACGGAAATCTGGGAGGTGATTCTGGGGGGGATGTGGAGAATGCAGAAATCTGTAACTGAATAGAAAGACGTGGAAAGTCAAGAACTGAAAACTGGGGGAAGGTATTGACCAAGTCTAATTTCGGACTCCTGCCTAGAGTAAGAGTCATCCTGAGAAGGGACAGAGACAGAAGGGTCAGTGCAATCGTGGTCAGTCGAGTTGAAGCAGGGATCTCTGGAGAGACCTCTGATCCTTAAAATGGCTATGTACTGAATACGTGTCCTGCAGGTATCTTTTCACATCTATACTCAACAAAGCATGCCATTCATAGGCTCAAAGGCCAAAACGATCTCCTTCTGACTTGTGAAAATGTTTCAAGAAGACAACTATGAGTTTCCAGTCTGAGCTTCCCACTCAATTTTTCAGCTTGCGAAGATAAAACTCTTGAAGAAGTACTTTTAATCGGAAGGGGGAAAGCACATTGCTCAGATCCTGAAATTATAGTAGTCATGCCCAGGACTCCAGCAAAGTGCTCCAACATCCTCCAGGGACAACTAAGTTACCTCCTCCTCTCTCCCCCATTCAATTACAGTACATCAGTCTTTGCTTTCCAGGCTGACTATCTCCCGCATCCTGGTAATATGGTACAGTGCAGCAAAATGCACAGCATCTTCTCCATAATCGTCATAATGGGAGGGGAGTATTATATTTCCTGACTAAGCTGTGGTCACAACCTTTATTTAGAGAATTGTTCTAACTGTACTAACATTTCAAGGATGGATGGGCTTTAAAAAAAAGGTTTGGGACCACCACATATTTCTGGACACTGCACCAGGAGATGTAAGTAATGATTACTTGTGATATTAAACGCATGCCAAAAGTAATACAGAGCCTTCTACTTCTGCAACCAGATGCTTTTAGCTAACGAGACAGTGCTGCTTTGAAATGGCCATTTGTCTGGTGCTGAAAAGGCTCTTGTACCTTTCATGAAACATTCTGTCAAAGTCTGTAGTTTATCATCCTGACTAGTGCATGCTGGATTTAAGTGTACCTCTCTGGTATCAATCTTGTCTTTAATGGAGAATGTTGAAATGGGCCAATTCAAATAAATATGATAACTTTTCTAGGAGTACAACACTGCAGGCAACATTTACTGTTAGATCTAAGGTGCAGGAGATAAAACTGAAATTTCAATACAACTAATTCATTTATTTTTCAATATAGCTGATGCTATACAACATTAATGATAGTCTTAGCATTAATATTTTATGTTACAAGTTGCATACAAAGCCATTAAAACATGACACATCTTTGCTGAATTGTTCAGGTATTTACAAATAAACAAAATGAAGCTTTTGCTACAAATACTTATTTTAGATTTTTATGCCAATGACTTGGTAATGGCATTGTCACATTGATCTTAATTTTGTAATAATTAAAATTGCATTTTAGAAGTGCTTTGAAAAACTCTCAAAGCCTTTTCACATTTATAGTGAATTACTTTTTCTATTCTCAATTAACTTTTTTCATTCATTTCTAGTTCTGATTTAGTTTACTTTCGTTCCCCATATTTAGCTCCCAGGGAGTTAAAGCAGTGCTGCGTTAAAAAATACTACTTCTTCTCTACTTCTACTCTACGTCTTCATACAGCACACAAACAGAATCCACAGCAGTAAACTAGGTTAAAATGTGGTGGGTTAAACAATTACATGTATGTCCCTACAGACTTCATAGTTAACATTATTATGGGTGCGGGCGTGGTTAGCAATACTGCTCATGGGTTTTTTTTTTGCCTCCTTTGAAGAGAAAACCAGCAGAGGCTTTAATGTGGTTATAGATACAAAGCAACACTAATGGTAGTCTCACAGAAGGCTTGCAATGTGACTCTTGTGTATCACACAGCCCCCTAGTATCAAAGGGAATTCACACACTATGGGAAATGATATGAAACAAATTATATAGAAAGTGAACAAATTAGGAACCCAAATGCCTTGCATGTACAAATATGGCCAATGTGGAACTGTAGGAGGTTTCGTTTGTGTTTGGCCCCATTTAAGGAGAAGTGTCTTTTATTAATAGTAATTGCTGACATATGTAAAATTCACCTTGTCGACTGCATAGTACAAGTCTGGTCTAATGAAAGTGCACTGAATTGTTGGTTGTTTCATCTCTTATCACAGGTTGAAATATCTCTTCCAGAAGGTGTTGCCATTGCTAAATCTCATTACACCACAAGAGATAACATTCCAGCAAAATCTTAGCATTAATAATTTAGAATAATTTCAAACAATAGTTTACAGTCTATATACCACCAATTTCACTCATTCTATTGTCTCCTTGCAGCTGAAATGCCTGAAGATTTTTGTTATCTTTCCTGGAGGCAATTGGATAAATCTTTCACGCTCTAAAATAAGCAACAGTCGATCACACAGATAGGATAGGATTCCCACAGCCCTCAGTCAAATTAAAATCTTAGTTTTTTGGTGTCTTATCTTTTAATGCCACTACACAACATTCCCCTCAGCTCTCTTGGTATCCTTATCAGGTTAAAATAACAGAATTAACTTTATTCTCATTTGGCTTGATGATGTAAGAACACTGCCATGAAAACCAGAAGTATAGCCGGTCAAGTCATAGGATGCCCTTCAGCGACTTCCCTCTTGCCCCAACACCATGTGATGATCTCAGCTGGCAGAATGGCACACTTTCAGGTTTCCTTCTGAGTCATGTGCAGCCCCTTGTTGTTTTGCGTTCCTTCATTACTGTGAACTAATCAAACACTGGCAGCACGCACGCAGTACTGTACCATTATCACAGAACCCCAGCCCCTGGTGTCAGCTGGAAAATCCACAGTGATTCACGGCAGGGGTTGTCCTGTCCTTTAACAAAGCCACTTCACATCCCACAAATCCCCACTGCCTCTAAATGTTCGGTCTGTCTCTTGGGATGAAACATTTCTACATATTTGAAGACGTTCAAGTACAGTAGGGAGCTGCGTCAGCATGCGTAGGCTGCAAAAGAAAAGGTAAAGGTTTATTCCACGCCAAAAGGAAAGGAAAAGAAATACAATATTTTGGCCGTGGAGCCTTCTTCACACACCTGAAGAAGGTTCCACAGCTGAAATGTTGTGTTTCTTTCTTTACCTTTCAGCGTAGAATAAACCTTTACCTGTTCCTTTAAAATATTTGTTCCTAGAGAAGCTATTTAGTTCCCAGGGACTTTAAATGGAATATATATAGATATGGAATTCTAACATAAACAAAGTATTTATTACACACTGATAAAGCCACATATATCTTGCCCTCTAAGTAAATCTTGGACAAAGACAAGTTTCCCAGCCTGTTCCATTCTCAACCTGTGGTTCTGTTATTGAGATGTTTACTTACAAAGATGGCATGATGTCACTGTTGCACAAAGATCATTGATGGGATAATTCAGAAACTGCAAACACAATAAATAGGTTTACAATGATTCAGAGCACTGACAGATAATGACTGATGTATTACAGATATCCCTGGTAATTCCATTGACATGCTGATGAGATTATTGTAAGGTTTTATGGATTTTAGAAACAATGAATACAGTTGTGGAGGTTATAGTGATTTGAAAATATGGAGATGACTGTAGGATGCAGGAGTTATCAGAAACGTCGTAAATAGCAGCTTTGTTGGAATGTTGCATAAAGTATCACAAGACTAAATGTTTCAGTGTTTCTTTTAACCAGACGTGGAGGTTAAATGTCTCGGAGCATAATCTGTTAAGGGAGCATTTTAGCAGAACAATGTGTCATGTCATTATCTACCACTATATACAAATGGTTATCTGGGCAGAGCTCCTCTACAGCTGTGGTTTGTTCTGATGGCTGGTACCAGGTTCCATTTTTTGTTTATTTTGGGTTGTTGTCATGCAATAAACACACTTAGTCATGTTCTATATTAATTAAGAATGTAATTCTAAAGCTTAGAGACATACAGCATTCATCCATCCAATTTCAGTTACTGCTTCGTTCAATACAGCCAGGGACTAAAACAGCAGACAACAGGCACAAGGCAGGACACACCCTGGATGGGATTCCAGTCCATCATGTGCAAACTTCACCCAGAAGGTACCATAATCCAGAATTGAATCTAAGTCCCAGGAACTTTGTTATTTTGAAGCAGTGGTACTAACAGCTATGCATTAATGCTGTGTACACACGCAGCATTCAGTTAATTAATATTTGCTTATACTGTATATCGCAAACAAAAGAGCACTTGTCTTGTTAAATTTAAAAGACACCAGTCCACCCTCACACAGGTAGCTCAGTTAAAGCAAAGCATAGCATAGAGAAAACCAAGTGGAAAAGTAGAAAATGTTTATTTTACTTTGCCTAATCTTTGCTGTTTATTGCTTTGGTGTGGATCAGCACAGAAACCTGATTTTAGCACAATCAAGACAGCAGTGCTGTGCACAGACTTGTGGGTAACGGATATCATCCTTCAAATCCCCAGCCTAGAGTTCTGAAGGGCAACCATGAGCAGGTTCTGCACCCCGGAGGAGGACAAGTCAGAATCCACAGAGGAGACCATACTTAGTCTGGAAACCGACGACACCCAGAGCGAAGATGGACGCTCACAGACTTCCAAAGGCAAGAAGGGTCTGCTGTCCTCTGCTTTCGGCATCATTGGGTCAGCGGAGAACAGAGTGCCCATGGACACAGGCTACCAAGAAGACATCACAGAGCCAAAGCCCAAAGTCAAATTCAACTTAAATTTTGACAAGTAAGTTGTTTCATACATTCTTGGGTGTTCAGCTGTTGCTGTATTAGTAATCAGAGACTGTTTGATTCAATTTTCAACCAGCTGCCATAGTGAAGACAGAGTTCTGAGAGAAATGGACACAGTCAAACAGGCAACGTGCTGGTAGTGATACAGCGTTACCTTGTCAAATAAATTGTTCAATTGTAGATGCCTTGCATGTTTTTAGTAGAACTGATTTCTCCCTTTTCACAATGACAGACATTCCTGATTGAATCACAGGACTTATGTACAAGAGTGCTGGGCTGTAGGCCTACCAGCCCCTTTCTGACGGTTTACTTGTGTTCCTGGGAGCGGGGATCCACTGTCCCTTGGTTGTTGGGCGGAAGCAGCTCCAGTACGCTCTGCTGAAGCAGTGAGCGGCCTGTGGCTTTCTTGTCTTGGACCTGAAGGAAGGTACGCGGAGAGGCCGAGGGAGAGGGCAAGAGGCAGACCCCAGCCGGGAAATTTGACATGAAAAAGCTGTTTGAGGCCGTGGCCAGCGGAGAAGTCAAGCAGTTGGATGGTTTAGAAGAGTACCTGCGCCAGACCATGAAACGTCTCACAAATTCAGAGTTTAAAGGTAAGAGTGGGGATGTGAGATTCACGCCACACTACACACTTCTAAGTCCTTTCTTGAGAGGGTCAAGCCCTGATATATTGTGCTGGAATAAAGTCAAGGAAACCTCTGATGGGTCTTGATTATAGCTGAATTCAGTGCTCATGAGTCATGCTGGGACAGATTGAGGTAGCTAGATTACACCACAGAGATCCTGCTGGAGTAATCTTAAAGTACCCTTGGAAGCCATAATTTCCTGATGCGTTATATACCAACCAATCAATATTCCTTGTGGCTTTTTTGGAAAGGTGCCTTTTTTATTATATGAGAATCTGCCCAAGTTTCAGCAATAATTGCAAAGAGACCCGTTAGGCAAATCTGTCAGGCTCAGAGAAACAAACTGACACTAAATGAATGGAGTGAACATCCCTAATGGATCTCACTTTTCACCGATGTTTGACACCAGGCTAATGTATTGGTTGGTATGTTAACATATATTTCATTAAAGATGCTTGGAAGCAGAGAGAAATAAAATAGACCTACTAACATGAACGCAAACAACCTATTATCCGAGATCTAGCCTTTTGTACCGCACTTCATAGTTGTTTAACCTTATACAAAGGTTATAAAGGTAAGCTTCTGTAACCTTCATTTACTAAAATTTTCCATGCACTTAGATTCCATCTGGAGATTCGAGTCAAGAGCAACTGATCTGAAATGACTCACCTGTCGCGGGTGCTTCATTGCAGTTTTTTTTTTCTTCTGCTCAATGCCTTTCAGACCCATCCAATGGTAAAACCGCCTTACTGAAAGGTCTCCTGAACCTGAAAGAGGGACATAACGACACCATTATGGTGCTTCTTAACATTGCGGAAAAAACAGGCAACTTAGAGGATTTCATTAACGCAGCATATACAGATAGTTATTACAAAGGTAAGATAAACTCTTCTTTTTTCTTTCGCAGGAGACGTACAAGAGATGTACAGTGACTTACAAAAGTAATCAACCCCCCCCCCATTCAGCGGCCTCCCATTTTGTAGAATTAAAAATGACGTGCACCCATCTTTATCAAGTGAAGGTTTTAGCTTGAAACGGCAGTGTTCAAAGTTGTACTCTTTCTGTGGGAGAATTTTAAACGACAGCCAAACCTTCCAAGAAAAATAACAAATAAAAACAATTTGTTGATTGCTTTAACTGTGGGGATTGGTAAGAGAATTCTCAATTTAGTGGGGAATATCGTGCTGACAGTGTATTGAGTCATATATGTGCGTGCGTGTGTGTCTGTGCACTCACAGGTCAGTCCGCCCTTCACATCGCCATCGAGAGGAGAAGCATGCACTTTGTCAAATGTCTCATACAAAAGGGAGCAAACGTGCACGCCAGGGCCTGTGGGAAATTCTTCCAGCTCAACAGAGGGTCTGGCTTCTATTTTGGTAAGCGGTATTAACACAGCAGGCGGAGGCTGTCAAAACCGAGCCCCTTCACCTTTTATTCCAGCCCTCAGCTGTAGTTATTAGTAGAACGGAGAGCCTGATCTGTCGCTACCATTACTTTTATACTTCCTACTGTAAAGAAATGCTCAAAAAGCTTGGCTGTCTGGGGACCACCAATGCATTTTCAACCAAAAGAGGGAAGGTTTTTTCTTTACCTTAATTCCTGTGCTAAATTTCTCCCTGTATTTAATTGTCTGACCCCTGTATATTTATTAGTATGTATTCTATTGCTTATTTTTCCTTCTGCATGTAAATGTACAGTATTTGTTATATAATGTATGAGGGATTGGGACCTGTTTTAGTGAGTGCCTGTATGTTGCTGTGATTCAGTCAGTACAGAGGGTTTCGGTTCAGGTGTCACAGTTAAGAAGTGAACCCCCATTAACCCCTCTGTGAATGTGGCCCAGGGGAGCTGCCCCTGTCCCTGGCAGCCTGCACCAACCAGCTGGAGGTAGTGGCGTTCCTCATGGAGAACCCCTACCAGAGTGTGAAAGTCACGGAGAGCGACTCCATGGGCAACACGGTCCTGCACGCCCTGGTGGTGGTGGCCGACGACACGCCCGAGAGCACCAGGTTCGTCACCAAGATGTACGACGAGATCCTGATGAGGGCGGCCAAGCTGCACCCCAAGGTCAAACTGGAGGACGTCACCAATAACCAGGGACTGACCCCGCTGAAGCTGGCAGCCAGGACTGGCAAACTCGGAGTAGGTTCTCTGCGATGCAAAGTTCATGCACAGTAGCTGCTGCTGTTGCACTATGCTGCTGCCAACCTGCATTATATCGCATTACCTCTTTCAGTGCATTTACTGCACACACCTCTGACATATCACGTGTCAGTGATCTGTAATGCTTTCCTGGTAAATGTACTGTCCTGGGCCACTTGGGTGGAGTGGTGGCTCTGTGGCTAAGGATCTGCGCTTGTGGCTGGGAGGTTGCCGGTTCAAATCCCGCAGCCGGCAGAGGAATCCTACTCCGTTGGGGCCCTGAGCAAGGCCCTTAACCCCAACTGCTCCAGGGGTGCTGTACAATGGCTGACCCTGCGCTCTGACCCCAAGCTTCTCTCCGTGTCTGTGTCTGATGGAGAGCAAGCTGGGGTATGCAAAAAGACGAATTCCTAATGCCAGAAATTCTATAGGGCTAATAAAGCGATGTTATGTTATGTTGTAAGTGTCTGCAGAGATAGTAACCCCTGTGACTCGGTGTGACACTGCAGGTGTAGCCCAGCAGAGCCCTAACTCAGTGTCGCCTCCACTTCTGCTCTTCCAGCTGTTCAAACACATAGTGCGGCGGGAGATCAAGGACAGCGAGTGCAGGCATCTCTCTCGGAAGTTCACAGAGTGGGCGTACGGGCCGGTGCATTCCTCCCTCTACGACCTGGCGTCCCTGGACTCCTACGAGCCGAACTCGGTGCTGCAGATCATCGTCTACGGCAGCGAGATCCCAGTAAGTCGGCACAACGAGACCCCTCAAGATCAAAATAATACATTTCCGAATCCTGGACGCGGGCCTTACAGGCCTATTTTTCTGAATGTGGCCAGTCTTGAAATGTGCATCATGTCAAAGTCCATCCCTGTGTAGGGAAATTCTAATACCTGTGTACTGATGAGGACGCTCTCTCGGGGTGGAGTGGAGATCATGGATGAGTTAAAGGATGGACACGGTTGCCCATTTTGATCGCACAAAAGCTAATTGGGAATCAACATGCAGACTGGGTAATGCCAAGGGTACAATAGTGAGACAGAGAACCTTTTACAGGTGCAGCCCAGAAAGAATTACGACAATGGCAAAATATGTGATACAGTTCTACACTAGTCTCTTGCAATTTAACTGACGTGCTTGTATAATCAACGTCCCTGTTGGCTTTTTCTTTCTTGCAGAACCGCCATGAGCTGCTACAAGTTGAGCCTCTCAATAAGCTGCTCCAGGAGAAGTGGGACAGATTTGCAAGCAAGATGTTTTTCTTCAATTTCTTCGTCTACGTGATCTACTTGTCCATTTTTACCACCGTCGCCTACTTCAGACTTGAAGGAAAGGTGCGATCTCTTTTTCTTAGAAAAGTGCAAATCGAAAGAGCAAAAATTTGAATGCATGGAGTTGCAAGATTTCTTAATTGAACTGCTTAATACCTTTAAACAGTCATCGACACTGATTATAAAAAGCTTTTTTGTGTCTGAAGGTTTTTCCTGAATTAATCCGTATTTTCTTGGAAATGCAGCCACCCTTCCCACTGGAACATTCAACTAAAGGATACCTCCGCCTGACTGGGCAGCTCATCGGGGTTTCAGGAGCAATTTACTTCTTCTATAACGGGGTATGTATCCCGGTCTGCTTCCCTGACCATGCCTGATTTCTAATTCCCTTAAATCTCTTGTCATCAAAATATGATTCCACTCAAATCCCTGAACGTTTTGGAAAATCTTACTTAAAACAACTTAAACTAAGTAATACTGACATTTTTGCTGATGTGCAATGTTAATTTTAAGAGACTTTGATAAGGGGCAAAAAAAAAACCTGTCCGATTCTGTCCCTTTGCTAGGACCAAGACTTATGCCCAAGAGCAGAAGCAATGCTGTTGAATACATTTGTGTTCCTAAAAAGAAAAGCAAGTTATTATGGATGTAATGAAAGATGAGAAGACTTATTCTATCCTTCACTTTAGATACATCCTAATGAACCTGTCTCCCATTTTCAGATTGTGGACTTTAAACGAAAGCGACCAAAACTAGAGTCTCTGCTGATAGATGGATACTGCGAAATCCTTTTGTAAGTTCCCCCTGACGTGCCTTTGTGTTTTTTTTCTGAATAGCACTAAGTCGGGGGTCTCTAGGGGTCCAGTCAGTCCAGGGGTCTCCAGCCCTGGTCCTGGGGAGCCCCAGTCCAGTCAGCCCAGAGTACTGACTTCTTGAGTACTTAGATTTCAAATCACTTTCATTGATCACATTGAAATCGGTCCATAGCTTTAGAAATTGGTGCTGGAGATTGGTGACTGGGAGCTCTCCAGGAGCAGGGCTGGACCTTTTCGGTAAGAACAGCTGGCGATCTGAAAAATAAAGATATATAATTTGTCAATGTAAGCACATTCTTTTCTTTATTTTAAAGTAACCGAGTCAACGAACCCAGCCCCAGATGAGGTATTAAGAGATGTGGGGTACATGAGACAAGACGTTTGTCTTTAGTTCCTACAGAATGGCACTAATGTGTCTCCTGTGTCCTCAGCTTTCTCCAGGCTGTCTTCTTCCTGACGTCCTCGGTGTTGTACACTTGTGGCAGGCAGGAGTATGTGGCCTTCCTGGTGATCTCTCTGGCCCTCGGTTGGGTCAATCTGCTCTACTTCTCCAGAGGATTCCAACACCTGGGCATCTACAGCGTCATGATACAGAAGGTTCGGTGAAAAGAAACAACTATATACATTAATCGCATCTTTTTATGACACAAAAGACACACAGTATCTGGGCAGAGAGACTCGAGAGGTCGCTAGGAATTATAGGTGTTAGATGAAAGCCTTAGCAACTGTTTCCAAAGTGCCTTTTTTTAAACCAGAGAGGAGGTCATCAAAAACCTCGACCAGCAGGTGGGGCTCGACCTCAGAGACTTTGAGATCGGTCTCGTTTGAGCAAAGTGGTGACCCCTGTCCCAGCATAGCAAGGACAAACGAGAGGAGGGAGCAACACGCTTTCAAAGGACTCCTGAGACTGTGTAGACGTGAGACTGCTGTCTTCGTGCCCCTCGGCAGCCTGTACTTGAGATACAACAATCAATAACAAGAAATTGAGCATCCATGTACTGGATATATATTAAAATGTACTTCAGCGGCTTTTTTTCTTTCCTATATAGATGATACTGGGAGACATTTTACGCTTCCTCTTCGTCTACATCGTCTTCCTCTTCGGGTTTTCTGCAGGTACTGGTCTTCCTCTTGGCATAGCCTGCCCGACCTTCAGGGGCCAGGCATTTATAATCAATTCCCGATAGATGCCCCACTTCCAGTCGCCCCCAGTTAATACAGGTCTTGCCTTAATAGCATTAGTGCCACTCCTTATGGGCTCATAGGATTACTGGGAAAGGCTACATGGGCTTTTATGATGCTTGTCTGGGAGATAGTGGCTTATCCCGTCAGGGTGCTGCTTGTTACTACAGTATACAATCTGCTCAGATTTCCTTCTGTTTTTCCACAGGCCAGTAAGTTGTTGGCTGTTCACCCACCAGACGACCCTAACTTTGATATGGTCAGAGCCCTCAGTCTTAGGGCTTTATTCTAAGGACCTGATTCCAAAGCCATTTAAGTGTTCAGTAATGGGTAAAGGGTACACAGTTTGTGTAAGTTATACAAGAGGTTTGAACAGGGAGCTGTGTCAATGTGTGTTGGCAGCAAGGGTATAAGCAGAGGTTAATCCAAAGCTGAAAAATTAAAAAAAACAGTCGTGGAGTTTTATTCAGTTGTCTTCTTTCTACTTTTCAGCTTGCAATTAATTCTTACTTGTTGCTATATGCGTTACGTGACCTTATAGCCAATGCTTTTAAATTTCGTCACTGAAATCTTTATCCTAACAGACATGTGTATCTGAAGCAAAGATCATGAAACTTTTTTTTTTTAAATGCAGGAACACATGTATTTAAGCAAAAAAAAAAGATAGTTGCGGTTATTTCAACTTTCCCCCCGTAATCCGCACGTAATCAGTGCAAAACCAGAAAAGAAACGGTTAGAAACCGTTAAAAGATGCCGGTTGTAACTTTCGATAGAAGAGTTTGTGATTGAGAAATGAGGCAGGCTGGTTTCCATGCCGGTGTTTAGATAGACCCACGACGGTCCTGACTTGCGGCATTTTACCGGCAGCCATAGTGACGCTGTTAGAGGAGCAGCCTGCGCCTCCGCTCAGCGGCAACGGGACAGCGCCGAACGGCACCGGCACCGGCACCGGCACCGGCACGGAACCCAACCCCACACCCGGGAACCCCGCGGACGACTGCAAGAAGCAGTCCTACAACAACTTCTACTACACCACGCTGGAGCTCTTCAAGTTCACCATCGGCATGGGCGACCTGGAGTTCACCGAGCAGTACAGGTTCAAGAAGGTCTTCTACTTCCTGCTCATCTCCTACATCATCCTGACCTACATCCTGCTGCTCAACATGCTCATCGCGCTGATGAGCGAGACGGTGGAGAGGATCTCCCGAGACAGCAAGAGCATCTGGAAGCTGCAGGTAACGAGCCGGCCACATCTCTCTTTGAGAAGCAGGCTGACGTGTGCTTTAGATGCATGCAAATGTCGCTTGAAAACGAGCCGCTTAATAATAATAACAACGACAACAATAATAATTCCTTACACTTACATAGAGCTTTTCCACTCAAAGCACACACGTCTGCCCTCAAGATGAGGAGATAAGGCAATGTTTCAAGAAAACAGGTAAAAAATATGAACTTGCAGCAAGACGATTAATCGTGCACTTTCCACAGTTAAAGTAAGGCTCTTTGCTTGAGAGTCCTCATTCCAGCAAGATCAAATCACCAGGCAGCACTTCCCTCTGCAAAGATTAGTGGGAGTCTGGAACAAGCTACCCACCCCTACTGTAGAAGCCAGTACCCTGTTTTCTTTAAGAAACTTTGTCAGGAAGCTTGAGAAGATCCTTGGATCTCTTAGCTGCTAGCTCCCCAGAGGGATAGGTGCACCAAAGGGCCTCCTCTCGTTTGTAAGCTTTCTCATGCACAGTGTGCACAGATATTGGCCCTGTAATGGCCCTGCTGTACCAAGGCAGTTAGAGTGCTATGATGATGAACCTGGCGGCTGTGTGGTGGCGAAGCCCCAGGTGATGCAGCGCGGTGCTGTTGTCCTCAGCGGGCCATCACCATCCTGGACCTGGAGAAGAGCCTGCCCTCCTGCCTGAGGGCCAAGCTGCGCTCCGGGGTGCCGAGGGAGCTGGGCCGCAGCCCCGGGGACGACTGCCGCAGATGTTTCAGGTAAACGCCTCCGCGTCTCCGAAACCAGCAACTGGCACTCGGGAGCCGTCCCCTCCAGGAGAGCGCGGCCCGTTCCAAAAAACACACGGGGAGGGGGGATAATCCGTCAAGAGAACAGCAACCAGATACACTGATTCATGAGGTTTAGGGAAATGTCCCACACTGGAAGTCAGAAGAAAATGCACCTTTTGAACAGAAAAGACTACCAAGGGAAGTACTTTTCCAAATTTTGAAGTATTTAAAATTCCGAAAAGCTTTGACAAAGTCAACCCAGGGGACAGTTTTCAAAACCTCGAGTGAAACATAAACCAGTAGACACCAGGAGAGACTTAAGGGGAACTGTGTTTAAAACTGAAAACAGGAGGCCCTTCTTTACACAAAGGGTGCTGGGAGAATGGAACAAGCTGCCCAGCTATGTTGTTCAATTAGCTATGAGCTTCCAAATGGCCTAGGTAGGCCTCATGGGCCCCTCTTGTTTGAAATCTTTTTATGTTATTAACACCACCACCAATAGGGACAGATGGACAGATCTTGGGGTGGAGAAGTGGCTCTGTGGCTTAGGATCTGTGCCTGTGGCTGGAGTGTTGCCAGTTCAAATCCCGCACCTGGCAAGAGGAATCCTACTCTGTTGGGCCCCTGAGCAAGGCCCTTAACCCCAGCTGCTCCAGGGGTATGCAAGCAAGGAAAATGCCATTCCAGTCATGAATGCCGTAAGTGTGCAGTAATGGACAGAGAATCTAGAGGAACATGAGAGCGAATGGGAGGTGCACCTTCACTGAATGTGAGTTGCAGTTTCTCAAGAACTGGGATAATCAAGGACTAAGGGAGTTCTCTCATGACTAATGAAGCTATGACGTTTTTTGAAGCCTTACATGAAAAACGTGCTGCATCTTTTAAAAGATAATGCGAATGTTTGGCAAACTCTCTCCTAGAAGTGCTTTAGATCTATAGTCCACTTACTGCATTTGTTGACTGCCATTCTCAAGTCAACATGTGTGGATTTGAGAAGTGGTTTGTTTCATGTTTCTGTCTGCTGCCTTAATGGTTTTAGAAAGGGGAAAAGCTGCCAGCTTTTTTGAAATGTGTGTTTGATTCTATGTAAAATATTTTGGGCTGATCTCTGGGATAGAAAGTGTCAGAATTTATTAATGCCCAATGGGAACCTGTCGTCTATTCAAATGCCAGGGTGGAAGAAGTCAACTGGAATACGTGGAATTTAAACCTGGGCATCATTAATGAGGATCCAGGGAACGAGCCTCAGGAGATCAGCACTATTACTCCTGCAGAAGCCGGGCCTCGTAGAGGTACAATGCACTTTCCCGAGCAACAGCATGTGTTTCTATAGTGCCTTACATCACACTGCCAGAGCAGGAGAAAAAAAAGCAATGCAAATAATAAAACATGAAAAGCAAAAAAGTGAAAATGATAGCTACATGAAAATCATTACATATACTGTACATATCTATAGGCTAGATTGAAGTGCAGCAAATAGCCAGCTCACATTATGGGTAGTATCTCTAAGACAACAAGAGAGATGCACTCTGAGTCTCTTTTGTTAATGCACTTGTCTAAAAACAGTGAAAATGACCAGCTGTCTGCCAGCAGCTGTTCTTTCGCCATGACCTGCTGTCTGATGTGAAGCCCCTTGTCATTCCAGCACGCAGCTGGAGGAACATTGTTCCCATCCTGCGGGACTTCAATCAGGCAAGGACGCAGTCCCCCCAGGAGGAAGAGATGAGGCCGATATCCAGCAGCCCTCACTGAGGACAGGCCACCGGGGCGATACCCACAGACAGCGGTGCCACTCGTCTCCCACTCCACGCCTGCAAACGAATTCTGCGTGCGCTCAAAGATCAGTACCCAGCTTGAGACATGCACACCTGAGTGACTTCAGCTTACTATCACAGTGTTAATTAATGGCTCCTTTATACCTCAGGGGCTATATCTAATTGCTATGTTAAAGAGTGGATTAGTACTTTTTGAATTGCCAATATCTACACTACCTTACCCTCTTACCAGAAGGGTTGGGTGTAAAGGCCTTCTCTATTGAACAGATAAATAGGGTTGGGGCAGACTACTCAAAACCTAACCAAATCTTTACCCAATTTACTCATTATCCTAATACAAATGTTAGCACAGTTTAAATACATGTTAAATTGATAATCGATAAAGAAATACTACAGTAAATCTAGGACTTTACCCTGAAAAAAAGTGAAGATAGTTTGAAGGATGAAGACTAGGGCACAGGGTCATCATCAGCCAACGTTTCAAGTGGAGAAGCAGACAGACTTGGGACGGAAAGCAGTAATATCAGAAGTGGACATCCGTGGTACCTTGTCCTGCGACTCTTTTGATCTTTTGGCCAGACATCTTCCCCTTTTTAACCCTGCGCGTATAATTCAACTCGCGTGTCGGAAACTCGCGTAAAAGCAGAGAATTTACAAATAAGTGTTTATACTGCATCGCATTATAATTTCAAGCCCATATTGTTTAACGCGCTTGGGGAAAAAAAAGTCGGGATGTGGGAGAAGGAAAAAGAAAAAGGAGCTCAATTATTAAGGCAAAAACGCGGGCAAGTGTTTACTGTAATTTTGATGCTCTGCATGTAATTGAAAGTGTGATTTGTAACGTGCAATATCCTCCTATTTATCAATATTATGTTGTATTTCTGTTTTCTTGGCTTTTCTTAATGACAATATATTGTAAGATAGTTACTTTGGATTTTAGATGTTTTAATACAAATATATATTTGACAGAGGCTACGGAGGTTTAATATCACGGATACTGTACAAACGGAGTAATCGTAGGATGATCCCAGACAGGTTGCATAGCGCGGACGAACCTTACAACCAATTGTGACACGATGGATTTTGAAATCATTCGTTAGCACCTGAAAGCACAACATGAAAACGAGAATTGTTTGATTATATAAATGCACTGCAGGTTCGGACTATTCTCTGCCATAGTGGAGCCGCATCACTCCTGCGCGATTCAACGGTTCTCAGTCAACTCTACCACTTCACTGCTCTGGATAGGAGTCGAAACAATGCATATGGCTCCACCTGGCGGCGCACACCAGGAACTGCATCAGTCTTCAAACGGGTGGAAACGAAACGCCTATCCTCTCCAAGAGGGACAAGCTGGGTAAATCGGTTTTAAGCCGTTACACCGCTGGATACTCGAGGGTCTTAAGTCTATTTAATAGATATGTCGTAGAGAAACCTCGCTCCCTATTAATATTTTCGTGCTATGTTTTGGCTTTAAAAAGAGTAAAGATCTACTAAAATAACCGTTAGCAAGAGGAACTCTTTTCTGACTGCCACCTGGTGCCTGAACGGGTCTATTACAACACTAATGCACAGACCATTCCGGCACTACATCTTCAGGACGGAGAGACCCGTATCTAGACGTAATTAGACGTGTCAGAAAAATACTGTCCCCCTCCCACCGAAAAAAAAGATACAAGACCTGATCCTGCTAGCTTCTCCCTTGCTTTTGCCCTGCATCATAGTTCAGATGCCTCACTTCCTCAACACATTAAAGCCTAAATAAAACTAAAAAAAGCAGTGTAATTGGTATCTATATTTAACAAGTGCTTAGTCAACAGCTTCTGGGACATCGGCTCAGATAAAAGCCAATATCCCTGCCCAAATCTTCTGCAGTCAGATGAATGGGCTTGAAAGGACTCTTATTAAAAATGATCCAATGAGATAACTTTGTCTAAGCGTGGAGACTGAATAGATGCCATTTTCTCAAGGTCAATTTTCTTCTCCGATTCTGCCAAATGAAACAATCTAGTTAAAATGAGACAAAAAAAAGCAGCTCTTAAAAAGACTTTGCCTGCCTTTAAAAGTCAATTAGCAACAACAGGGCTGGGGGATGCGACGTTATTTTATAATTGAACTCTTCCTTTCCATTCTTCTGCGAAATGTCTCCTCAGTGTATTGTGCTTTGATATGCAATAATGCAAAATTTAATGTAAATGGTGGGAGAAGGTACACTAATACCAGGGTACAGATGAATGGAACACCTAATGTAACTTGTTCAAAGACTGGCAGTAACCAGAGAACATTTAGATAATCTGTCTGAGGGCTTTGTGCTAGAACACTTTGTAAGAATGTCAACTAAGCATTTCTATTATTTATGGCGTTTCAACTTTAATGATTTGCTGGATCAGTAATTTCACCCCATTATAGATTCTGCTTCAACATGTGAATGCCGTGAGCCCTGTAAATAAATAAAAAAAAACAGCTAAAACTCACAGCATCTCTGGCTGAATTCAGTTTGTGGAAATTTACATCCATCACATGCTGTCAAACACATTGTTTCGCACTGTATTTGCACAGAGCTGGTTGTCAAGCTAATATGATAGTTGAGCTCCTGCACTGGGTGAACATCTGGCCACCGCCTATGTATTTTCTGAAAAACCTTACTCCCCCTCTCCTCCTCATATCTCAAAGGCTTTGAGGGATTGGTGGTGGTTGGCTGATTAGGCTTCTATTTTCATGTTTCTGCTTAAGAGTTCAGTGTACAGCGATCACATTAAAAGCAAACATACCACCACTGTCAAAAACACTCCCTTCCGGCGGTTTGGCTTTTTTTTTTACCCGAAGCCGACAGCATTTGCTCTAGTTAAAGGGTTTTCCTCTAATAACTGTACACTTACCCTCTGTCCGTATGCAGGTTTAAATACAACTCCAAGACCCATGGTTATACAAAGTTTTTGGGGAAAAAAACTGGGCTGTGGAATTTACACCTTGGCTTCAACTGGAAGACTGAAGCAATGCCACTTCGCACTGCACAACAGCCCCGAAGAACACCATAAAGAGCTGGGGTCCGGCGTTGGGAACAGATCTGAAACAATGTAGTTCTGCTGACAAAGTGCCTTGGAAGTTAAAACTCAAACAAAAAAAAAAACAATCCCCCTGTGGGCAGGCAACTGTGATAAGCAGGCAGGGAAGTACTGGTACATTAGCCCTTCCTGCGGCGCTGGGTCAGGCTGTTTGTGTGCTGATCCCTCCCCTGCCCCCAGGCTAGCTCTCACCAACCTGCATGCTCAACCTGGACAGCCAACTCCAAGCTAAAAAAAAAATGAAGCACCTGCCAATTTCATCCAAGGCAAAAAAAGAAGTTTTTGACATAGACCAAGACACCTAACACTAAGAAAAACCGAAAGCCATATTTTGAACCCCACTCAGCTACATTAACTACAGACTGAACTTGAAGCCCTCATCAATATAAAAACAGACTTCCCTCATGAGGATAGCCACTGTTTCTGGCAGCCACTATATAGCAGAGACCCGTTTTCTTCCCCTTTTACTCGGATACTTATTCTATTTCCTCTGGTGAGCTTGCGGGTCATTACCGCTGTAAGCTGTATTGATGTGCATTTGATAAATAAATTTTTATATTTATGGATCCCACCAGCGCGTCGGTGGCGGGTTCTGATCAGTTTCCACCCTTTTGTTCTGGCGCCCAGCACGAAAGTCAAACACCCTGAAAAAGAATGAATACAAGACAGAAGTGGAAGAGGCTGAAAGAAAACATTTACAAAACCAAGTCAGGGCTTTTATTTTGGTTAGAAGGGAATGTTTGTGCAACACAGAACTTTTTCCTCGGATAAGAATGAGGAGAACGCATGAAGGAAAAAAAAAAACTTTTTCCGCTTAGTAGCTTCCATTGGGCAGAAGAGTGGGCACTAGCTGGTGTCGCAGCCCACCCGGGCTCTCTCAACACCCCTGAAGTACCACAACTCCTCAGAGCCCGCACAAAGACTCACTCAAGTCCCCCCACCTCAGCCCAACATGCCCTCAAGGACAGAGAAAAAAAAACAATGTGCTTAGATACAGACTCCACTGAGAATTCCCAACGTTCTGCACACAGGCCCAAGTTTCTAGGGCACTTCAGGCCTCCACAGTGTAACCTGTGTCCCGGCGGAACGAGGCTATTAACTTTTCAGTTAGCTTCTCCACCCAATATGACGTTTTTATTCTCTTCTCCGTTACAAAAAAAAATTACTGCCACTGTGTCAGTCTGCAGCAGCAGTTCTATCTCCTGCAGTGAAAATAAAAAAAAAAAGGTTTTACCCGTAGCACACAAGAAGCAGCTATACAAACTAGTAACTGTAATTCTGTAAAATGAACAGCAGCAACAGTCAAGTAACTTCCTCTCCATAGTGGACTTTGCACTAGAGATACAGAAATAGGACAGGATGTGAGTGGATGTATAGAAACATACACACACATACACTTTCACTTTTCAGTCCAGAGGAGGCACTTCTTTCAGATCATAAGCAGAAAAACAATTGGTAAGTGACAGGTCTATCAGTTTTTCGGGCTGTAACAAACCTTCAAGTAATGAACGAACAAAAATACGGTTCAAAGCTTTCAATTGGGGGAAAAAAAAAAACAAGTTTACAGGTAACAGTATTAAGCCATCTAGAAAATTAAACATTTCCATTCTTTTTGCTTAAAACCGTCCTGCCCATACAAGTGACTGCATGGTGTCCCACTTTTTTCCCTTGGACGCAGGCTTGCATATATCGAACTAATTTATATAGCGCCTTTCAAGGAACATGCCCTTCAACAAGGCGCGACAGATGTCAAGAGGATACATGCGATCGCGTGTGTAAAATAGGACATCCGTATGGCACGGCCTTTCAAAGCATAAATTAGAACTTTATTTTATTACAATATTACAAAAAAGGTAGCACAACTCCCGCGCTCTTGTCTCTATTGTCACAGCCACTTGAGGGCGCTGTTAAATCTGCCCGGGCCAAAGGGTCTCCCCCCCCACCCTCACCCCCCACCCCCCTTTTTGTAGCACTTGCAAAAAAAAAAAGTCAATTTAAATAACAAGCAAATCAAGTCATATAAATAGTCACAAAATGCAAAACTGAAGCTTTGAAACCTGAAAAGACATTTGTTACAGCCCAGTACTACACACACCTATAAAACGTAATTACAATAAAATATTACTCTAATTTATTGTTTTAAGAAATTCTAAGAATTGTTTCCTATTTTAACTATAGCTTCACTTCAAAAAAACTTAAGCTGTTATTTTTTATTATTCTTCTTAGTTTTCCTTTTTATACCATGCTTGTTTAAGGAAAGTCCAAGGACCAAATACTTAAGGCTTTTTAAAGGGCTGTCCGGGAGGCAAAACAGATTGCAGGTGTCAGTGGATTCACCCACACACAACATTACTCAAACCCACACCAACAGGCAAAACATTCATACAGAATTATTACACTTTAAGTTACAGTAGTATAGTAGGTAAGCCAGTGTACATTAAAATAAACAATGCATTTGCTGTTTTTTTTCCTCCAATCTTGCAAGTGATCGGTTCTTCCCCTCCTACCTACGTTTTCAAGATCCCATCATCATCAGGATAAATATCGTGGCTTTTAGAATGAAGTGGGTTTAAAAACAAAACGCAACAAAGTAACCATGAAAGGGAAGCTTGTTTTTTTTTTGGTTCGCACAAAAAAAATGGGAAAGCAAAAACATTTCTCTGCATCTCCCACTTCCCAGAGTTCAAGTAGTAGTGTCATCTGTTTAACAAAAAGAAAAGTCTTGCTACTTCTGAAGCAGCACCATTAGTTCTTGTAGTTTACTTCCTATTCAGTGCTTTCAAAACCCCCAACCCCACAGTCAGGAAGCCAACAGTCATGTGTTTGCTCTGTGGGTAGGCCCTAGCTACCACGTCAAGACCAATGAGCTCGACTCCTGGGCACCTGGGCCTGGATTCTCCCAGCACTGCCCTGGGGGTGGAACGAGTGTCAGCAGTACTGGCTAGCATGCAGCCCACTTATAAAGTGAATGAACATCTGTACAAATTATCAGGTGACACTTCATCTTGGAAAACCTGACCTGAATAAAGAGAGGAGGGAAAAAAATGAGAGGTATTACAAAACTCTTCCGACAAGCAGAAACACATTAGCGTCACAGTCTGTGTCCATATATATATATAGTGTCAAACAAAAGTGATAAGGGATTGAGATAAAGGTGAAAAGTCACATGAACCCCTTCCTAAACCTACGTCCCTTGAGACTGCAATCTGGTTGCATTTTAAAAAGTGAGCAGAAGACTGAAATGGTCAGATGGAAACTGACAAGGCAGCCATTTGTACAATTTGCCAAAGTGCCTCCCCTCCCTCCATCGGGATCGATTCAAATCTAAAACCCAGACTCCGGCCTCATCCCATCATTTGATATCTTAACTTCACAGAACTTAAAATCCCTATGTGTAAAGGAAGCTTTAAAAGATCAAGGTAAAATTCCTAGGCAACCCACGCAGACTGACACAAATTAGAGTGAAGGGAACAGATATGACAGAAATAGTCTTGCTCGGTCAGCCAATGTTTAAGTTCAAGAGTACTAGTCACTAAGAAAAGAGCAAAAAGGGGATCACTTGCAAGATTGCCAACAAAAACACTGCTCCGATTTATATTCTTTAATATTAGCGGTTTAATTTATTCATTTTAAATTTTTAAGACTAAAGAGAGATCAATAAATGTGTAGACAAGGCTGTAGCTTATCTGTACCCTGGATGCTGAATATGAGTATTCCTACTATCGCCTGGCTCGGGGGCTCTGCTCATAGAGGGCCTGTGCATTTTGCCCAACATGCTCAGATTCTGATCTCTAAAGCAGGGCTGCTGGAAGTCCCCGGCCAAGTAATCCATGGTTTGCATCACGCTAGTCTGGCTGGAGGAACCAGCTCCAGCCCTGTAGTGCGCCCCAGCGGCACAGTCTATCGAGGTTGCGGGGGGGCCTCCGTGGAATGGCATGGCCAGGTCCTGCGACCCGGAGCTGTCACTATTTGGCGTTGGCAGGATGTTATTCCACACGGGCTGGAAGTAGTGACCGTTGGTGTAGGTCATGGCGCCCGGCATCCCGTTGACGGGTGGGGAGGGGGTGGGCTTGTCCACCGGGGGCTTCAAGCTGAACGGCTGGCCCACGCACAGCTCCTGTGGGTAGTTCAAGGCCTTGCAGGGGAAGCCGGGGCCCCCTGGGAGGTCCCGCGCCGAGTGCTTGCAGGGGTGATGCCCGGGCCCGCCCTCGGAGATGTGCTGCAGGTGGGCGAGCTGGTGCTGGCTCCAGGAGCGCTGCTGCTGCTGCTGCTGCTGCTTGACGTCGCCGTGGTAGCCGGCGGGCACTCTGTTCACAGTGGCCATCACCGAGGCGGGGACGGCTCCCGCCTGCGCCGTGGCGGCCTGGTCCGCCGAGCTGAGGACGCAAGAAGGCAGGGGGCCCGGGACGGCGTGCCCAGACACCCGGGAGCTGGCGTTGATGAGCAGGTTGCGGCTGATGGGGCTGGGGTTGGCGATCTGCCCCTCGCACACAGAGGTAGTGCTGATGCCGGCCCTCGCCTGGCAGAACTGGTTGATCTGGTGCACGATGCTGCTCAGGTCGGCCGGCCGGTTTTGGTGCAGGCTGGCGGCCATGGAGAGCGGAATGGTTGAGGTAGACACGGTCACGTTGGGCGGGGCGTCGGCGTCCGCCATCTTCCTGCTCCCATGCAGGCCCAGCGGCGGCAGGGGCTGCTGCTGCAGCAAGATGCCGGGCGGCGGGTGGCCCAGGCTGGGGGGGTGGGAGAGAGTCTGCGTGGGGGGGAGGCCCGGGGGGTGCTGAAGGCTGGGGGGCTGCGCCATGCCGGGCGGGTGCCGCAAGCCCTGGGCCTGCTGCTGTATAGTCTGTTGGTGGGACAGGCCCTGGGGCCGGGGCAGACCCTGCGGGTGAGGGACAGTCTGGGGGAGGTTTAAAGTGCTCGGCGTGATGTAGGGCCCGCTGGGGGGGTTCATGATGACCTCCGGCAGCAGGCGCGCCCTGCTTCCGTCGAAGTCTTTGAGGATCCCTTTGGCGGGGACCTTGACGATCGCCAGGAGCCCCGCTTTCGTGCTGGCCTGAGAAGGGTAGGGGCTGTAGCGCTGTCCCGAGGTGTCCAGTCCGTTCACCGTGCGGCGGACGTGTTTCCTTTGAGGAACCTTCACGCTGTTTGGGAAGATTTTTATAGTCAGTGGATTGTTGGCGACTTTCTTAGCATAAGCATCCAATTCCGCTGGGGTTGGATACTGTGCGGATCTCATCTTCTGTGTAGTGTCCCCTGGGGCACAAAGACAGAGAGAAAAGGGCCTGTAAACACCAGTTTAAAGACAAGCCGAAAGACTAGTGGCACCTTTGCACCTCTGTTAGAAACCTCCAGCTTCACCCAGTGATTTAATAATGCAAGGGAACCATTCCAAACTTTAGTTTTTAAAAGCAGCAGATAAGTTCTTTGCTTAGTATTTTAGGATATTGCTAAAGCTCTCCAACTTTCTGCTCATTCACAATGCATTGAACTAGCTTATGTTTAGCTTACATTCTTTGGTGTGCTTAATTTTGTAGGCTTTTCCCCATTGTTGGTAAATAACTGAAGGATTTCTCATTTAAGCCAAATAAAAACCAGAACCATTATTTAAATCCTGCCTTGTAGGTGGTAAGGATAATATATGCAGTCTGTGCCCAAAATGGTTAAATCTCTTAACAGAGCACCTCCACAGAATTAAGCCTCTTGCTGTATTAAAGCACCATGTCATGTGGCACCTATAATCACCATGAGTGCTAACAAGCACTCCGAGTGGTGTGGGCAGAGTGTAATTGGCGCAAAGAGTCTGCGGTTCACAATGCTCAGGTGTCTGTGCGCGAGCTTCAGCTCATGGGGGCTCTGGAGAGAGCAGATCAGGAGCAGGTTTGTTTTTCCATCACAAGGAAAAAAAAAAACCACAATCAGCTTGAGTAGGAAACAGCCTCAGGCATCACCTGTATAAACTAACAAGCACAAGCTCCGACCTCTAGTGCCCAGTCAGTACCCTGTCTGTCTCCACCTCTCCCACTGGACATGCTTTCAAGAAAGCTTTTAAACAGGTGCTGCTGCTGATGCAAGGCTGAAGCCCTTTAAAGTGAGCCCAGGGCAAGCAACTACAGTCTTGTTGAACAACCTCTGCAGTTTTTGGCCTTCCGACTCACTTCAATTTGGCAATTCGCACAGGCTCAATGTATGCAGCAGAGATGTTTAGCGCACTGAGCAATATTTCTTAAAGCTCTTAAAGACATGTTAAAGGATCTGCTAATTCCAGGAAGTGTCAGAATGGCTCTGATGCTTATCGTTTCATCCCACACCCCAGCCACTTATGATTTGGGAGCTCATGGATAATAAAGAGCTACACCAACCCCAGAAAGCTAAAACAGAGGTGGCATTAAGACCTTATCCAACCCCACACACACATTTTCAGTATTCCATCTAGCCACTACCAAAGAATTGAGGTCCAGTGCTCTAAACAATTAAAAAAAACTAAAGAAGCCTTAGGGTTTAAGAAGCAAGAAAATAATGGCATGCAAAAAAAAAGAAAGGATCCAAATGGGAATGAGATATCTGATCCATTAAAGAGTAGCATTTGTGCCGTCTCAAGCCACAGAAGTGTCACAGCCTTGTGCAACAACTTGCATTTATTCAGATGCTTTCATTATCCAATCAGTACTCCCAGTAGAATCTGAAACCAGTCAAAATGAAAGACCAAGATACAAGACTGGCAGGACCTGGGCAAATGTGCTGATTAATCCCTTCTTTACAGGCAGCAAAGAACAAGACAGGCAAAAAAATGTTTTGACTACTTCAACCGCTGACTGGAGCCTTTAGTGCAGTGGCATTTTGGATGAAAAGGTCTGAGTACAGCATTTATCTGAATGCTTTTAAATACTTTTGCACAATTTCTCTCAATGACTTCCAGCTAGCAACGAAATACACCCCCATTGAAGAACTTGAGCAGACTCTTTGCAGCAGCTCAGACTTGTTGCTTCCAAATGGGACAGGATTGTCGAAACTTTAGCCCAGGAGACGCTTGAGAAAGGGATTAAGTGCCCAAAGGTTAGAAATCTGGAGAACAGCTCATCAAAATATAAATAGACCACAAAGGAACGAATGGACCAACTTGGGGAAAAGGTATTCTTTGCAATTATATATGACCTTACACTCAGACTGCTGGCTGTCTGGCAGGGAACCATTTAAATAAAACATTGCCATTTAAGTGTCGGAACGATTCCTGTCGGCTTTCATGCTCAAAATTGCAATTTAATGCCATTAGGTGAACCTTGAGAGAATCAAAGGGTATTTGCATTTATTTACATAAGTGTTTCAATGGCTTGGCCAATCTCGAGGTGCTGTATGCACTCTTCCTGTTGAGATGGTATCAGAGCTATTCCCATCCAATTTAGACTACAAAAGGGTAAAAGGATTAATCTGGATCCCCAGAGCCCATTTAAACAGGCAACACTTAAAAATGGATTGTACAACTGTTACTTCACCATAGACAAGGGTTTTTAACGGTTCTGCCTTTCATTTTCAATAAAATTGACCTGTAACTACAGATCTCAATGCGTAAAACCTGAAAAGGCAGAACTATAGACGTTTGACACGCACGACATTTGACCCCATTAAAAGTCACTCTCACCTGGATAAAAGTCATAACCTTCTTTCTAAAGGGTTTTAAAAATTTGAAAGCCGTAACAACTTTAAAATGAGCTGTACCCTCTTATCAACACAATCTTTAGAAACCCCCGCAGGGAGCCTGCTAAACCAAGGTCACAGCACTCAGATCAGTACTATTCACAGAAGGGACACTGACATTGTGGAGCAAAACAGGGCAGAATGTGCAGCAGTTAAGACCAACACTCATCGTGAGTATATATGAATATATCAAGAGCAAATGTCCCCTTAATGAAGGCAGGGTTGCTGCCTGAGCAATAATAGTTAATTGAAGCCTTGCCACCCCCCCCCAGCCCCTATAAAAAGCTCTTCAGCACTAAGGAGTGGCTAGGAGAGATTAAAGGGTTATCTCTGGGGAACAGGCACCTCTCTGCACAGTCCCCCACAGGCACCTCTCTGCACAGTCCCCCGATGACAGATATGCAAACAGGTAAACAGACAACATCGGAGGCGAGGCCCCGGTGTCATTAATTAACCTGCGAGGAATGCTTTCAGGATGTGCTGGTGAATTACTGGCTAGTCAGCATGTTATAATTGGAACAACTTAAGGCAATAAATTAGCTTTTTGCGTGAAGAAAAAAAAGAATTCTTCAGAGACCCGATGACAAACTGCATTCTGAAATGGTAAATTAAGTTAGGAGCCCACAATAAAACCTGATCCCGAAGTCAGCTATGACCAACAGTTGTACAGAATTCTGTACATTCTTCTTGGAGTGCTTTAGCTTTGGGTTTTAAAGCTGTACAAAATTCTCTTTAAGATAAAGGGGATTAAAAGAAAGCCTACAGTAAAATCTGATAAGGCACAGAGGGGAATAAATTTCAATGCAATCAGAGAGGATTAAGTTTATACTGTAGACTTTTATTTTTTTAAAACCATAGGTGCAAAGTACATTTCCTCATACCCCTTTCAGAAATAAGGTTTAAAATGGGATGAATTCTCATTTCTAGTGTATCTTCAGAGATGAGAGCATTAATATCAATGTTTTCTAAAAACAAAGCTAAAACAGAGACTTCAGTGTGCCGTTTATTTTTTCTATTAATGCCGATTAATGGTGAACCTCGAAACCAGAAACCCAAGTATGCCAGAATATGTGATTTTGGGGAAATTCCCCATGTTCGGCAGCAAAGATCACAGGATAAGAAAAAAGGAGCTGCAGTCGCTAAGCAGTCACTCAGGATTCGAAACCCCTTTCATATACTTAAACAACAAGTCATCAGAAAATACATTTTTAAGATCAGAATGAGTTACTGCCTTTCGCTCCTCAAAGCTGAGTTTTCTATAGTCTTGCTTTGCAGCAGTTTGTGACGAATTAAATTATTGAATGTTATTCAGACTAAATTTGTTAGCTCCAGAGGAGGCTTAATTAAGACCCCAGTATGGCAAGTATTTGAAAAGGGTATCTTCTATTTTGTAATTGACTTATGCATCTAACATTTTCTTTTAACAGGTGCACCAACCCCCATTTCATGACAGCACAGTTCAGCGGCCGCAGAGACTGGCTTCCCCAATGTCGCATCAAACAGAGGGGTCATCAGCTTCCATGGCCAACAGATGACACGGGTTTAGGCAAGTATATATGGCACTCATTAAAACTGGGCAAGCTTCTGGAGCCTGAAACAGCCATAAAGGCCACTGCTGAGCTGGAGAATAGATCTCAAAAGCCTGGCTGTCAAATTAGTTTTCAGTCATCATGACAAATAGCGGCCAAGACGAGCAATTCATTCTGCAGTGCATATTGACAACCTGGAGACAGATGGCCTCCAGGTCACTGGAATACCTTCATAAGAAGAGCAATTATAAAGGTGAAATTGTGATGCTGATTCCTCAGCTATGCTGAAGTGCCAGTGAGAAGACAGTCTTTTATCCACCCAAAGGTAACCACTGTACAAAGAGGGATTCAGGGGTGCAAACATACAAATTAATTCATCCGATAAATCACACTTGCACATCCCTCAAACAGTGATTTGATGTCATTGACAGAAGCAGGTTTTTAAGCAACACATGTACCCCAAAACCACAAAACTATACAGTTTCTGTGTGAAAGTCTCAAAGTAATGTGTATGTTTTCATTTTGCATTTCAGCACAGCAGCATTGAAGAAAGTTTGTGGATTATTAGTTTGTGGAAATCATTTTGCCTTGGAAATAAACTCTTATCGCCTTGCACTGTCATTAAGCATGTAGGTGTAATCTCAAACGGAAGTTGAATTCAAAATTTCTTCAGCAATATGACAAGAGAAGGTAAATATGAAAACTGCACACCAAAAAGCACTATGTATCAGATATCTTAATGTCAAATAATTACAAAAATGTCAAATGGTTGATATCAATTGTGAAAAGAGAATAAGACACTTAAAAAGACCAGTTGAAACATTTCACCTTGTAACAAAGCATTTTTTAGCCTTTCACAAGCAAAAAAAAAACGTACCTGATAACAAAATTAATAAAAAGACTGATACTGTACTTTAATATTGCACTAAGTATTAAAGAAAAGTGTTAGACCCATTAGTGAAAATGACTACAAATGTCTCAACTACTGGTCAGAGGTTCATGACTGAAGATTAGCAAAAGAACCGACATGATGAACATAAAAAGAAAAAAAAAAACATTTGAAGTCCTAGAGGGCTGTGAATCTTTTACAGTTTGTGGAATATTACAATACTTTTGATGACAACACTGGTTGTCATCACACAACCAAATAAGGCCAGATTCTATATTTCCAACACATTGGGGTCTTTCAGAGAGCTCTCTTAATTGGAGCATAGATGTCCCCCTTAGGAAAAAAAACCATCAAGCTGAGCTGGACAGGTCACTTCCTGTCAAGTCAAGCCCAGACTCTTTAATAAAACAAAGTCCCAAAAACCCAGTCATGCCAACAGCCCTTGAAGTAGCTGAATACAAAAATCAGAATGTGCGTTTCAAAACCCAGAAATCCAGAGCTTTTTCTTCTTTTCCTCGTACCCAAGAAAGAAATTAATGTATTTATCACTGAATGAAAAAAGTTTTTCACCAGAACTGATCAGCATAACCTAACTCCTGTATCTTCAGCACAAACTAGAAACATCAAGAGAAAGGCCAAGGCTGAAGGAGACAAATTTCAATCACGCTAAAGCAGCAGAAATTCAATCAGTCACAAACAATGAAGGAATTACAGCCAAGGTGTCATTTGGACTTGATGCTAATAAAGGCATTTTGAACGCTTGGCATACATATACTAAAATATCAGATGAGAGAAAATCAGGTTCTTTTTTGTGCTGGTTCATTAGGAGGTTGGACCCTTAAGGAGATCTCTTCATTGCTCAATCACCAATGGCAATCAGCATGTCCTAGGTAGGTGCTACACTTTCAGCACACCTGATATGCAAGCTGTGCGATTTGCCTAGTTTTGAGAGTCCGGCTGCTTTCTCAGGCCACTTTGGAGGCTGGAAGGGGAAGCGGTAATTGGCCTACTGGCAGAGTACTTACATTTCTGGAGTCCAGTGTTCATCTGCGTGTGAGAAAGAAGCTGGAAGGGAAGGTCACCTGGTCCTGGCAGACAGGCCAGCATTTCATGGGTATTAATGCAACATGGGATACGCACGCCTCGTCACACTGTATAGGGAAGACAAGAAAAGGATCTTGTTAAAACAAACAACGCACTATTAGTGGAACAAGTAAAGAATCTGCATTTCAGAGTGGGGGGCGGGAGATCTGTTAAAGCTTCTTCAGGTGTTAGCTTTTCCAGTGTGGACCATTCACTTGCAGCCAGTGCACAAAGACGCAGCTGCCCACACAAACATCTATTATAGTCTTTGACTGCAGTTGGGGGGGGGATTTACAGACTTCTCTCATCGCGCTCACTCTCCTAAAAAAAACGAACACATCTATACAGCAGCAGCTAGAAATCGTTCAGTCTCTTTCAACGTAGAAACCCTCGCAACTGAGAGACATTCTCAGGCAAGCCCTGCATCTGCCGTCAAAGGTCACTACTACTTTGCACTGGTAAGTACCTGCTGAACACCTTTCCGAAAGGAGTCGGGACTGCAGGTCTGTAAAGAAACCAGATGTAGTAGGAAATTCACCCGAAATCGTAAAAACAAAGAAACTGCTCCGCCCCAGATATCTGAATTTCTTTCACCAATATTCAAAATCCATACACGGTGCTAATCATTAACATGTTGGGCACTTTAACTGCAAGAGGAGATTCACCTAAAGCAGCTCATTTTCTGCAGCGTGTCAGACCGATAAAGAGTCAGTACAGTGTGTCAATTTAGCTTCCCCCCACATGACACCCAGCTACACCAGCCAATGCAGAGTGAAGGCTGGTTTAAGAGGCAATTACTATATAATAACCTTGGCAATGGACTGTACCCCAAGCATCCATGTAAAAGCCATATTATTCTGCAGTGGCCTGTGCAAACGAGGAATGAAGTCACTTAAAAACCTCAAAAAGGTCAGGTTGACAGCTCATTTAATCCTCACAACGCAGAAAACAACCGTTAACGAAGGCGTGGGTTATATAAATACCTGAGTGGTATGCACCAGGGGCAGAGGGACGTCTAGGAACCACATTTGAAGGTTGTGCTTGAATGGCCTGCAGCACATCCAGATAGCACCTGTGCCGATCAATGCCCTCTCTCTCGAGTCATTCCCTCTGCACCTTTTTCAGCGAGTGCGACAGCCATATGGCAGCTATTTCTGTCCCTGATTTGATATGTCATGAAGCATTAACTTTAATTGGCCTGGTACGCTTCTTTTCATGCCTTTTTAGTTGGCATGCACTCTTGACAGCTTGATTTTAAAAGCTCAGCCAGCACCCACCCCTTTTTTAAATAAGGCTCTAGATATCCTAAACATGCGCTTGACAGGTAAATCACAGGTCCCAAACAAACTAAATCGGAAAAATAAAAGGAGATCAAGAAGAAAAGGAGCCTTTTGTTCCCTGAAATTAAATTAGAAACAACCCACCTTGCGGTCAGTTATTTCTAGGGCACAATCCTTTTCTGTTGGGCTGCTGTCAAAGAGGTTCCACCATCTTGGCGATTCTGTTCCACGTGGGACAACAGACTACGTATTAACCAGACTCAGTCTGCAAGGAGTTAAAAAAAGCGGGTGGTTTTGATTTATTCTTCGCTGAGGGAACGGAGCTGCTCCTAACACTGGGAATCTTCCCCAGACTGAGCTCAGCACTCCTCGCGCATGAATGTCAGAAACTCTAAAGAGAAATCATGAAAGGTCAACGTATGTTAATGCGGATGACACCTCGCTGCTTTAGTGAGCATAAAGGTTAATGAACTTATGGACATCTAAACAGCAGGAGAACTGTGTGAGGACGTCTGCTAATAAGCAGTATGCTGTCCAGTACCCTGTGTGGAGAGCAGCACTCTGAAGGTTCTAAAGAACAGAGGGGGAGAGAAAACTCAGTGGTCCCCCTTTACCACCACTCCCCCAGAACATCCTGCACGGTACAGCTCTCCTCAAAAAGAAACGCAATGAGAAAATCGCTGAAGTGGCTTGCTAAGGAAAGTGCTCTTATTGGGGTTCCTCTCAAGTTCATAAAGCGTATTAAAAATAAATCCCCCCCCCCCCAAAGCTGTGCATTCTGGCCATATTCTCTCCACACCTGTGGTATGGGCATAAATCTCAGCTTGACTGTCTGTGCCAGGTCTCGCGCGCACTGCATGAGATCAAGCGAATGTGGATATGCTGGTATCTGCTCCAGTTTGCATTTGGCAGAGTGTCAGTTTCATACGATCTCAAGTGCATGGCTACTCTTCTTCTCCCGACTTTAAATTTAAACAACTCAATGCACCGTTTCAAGTAACTACTCTCACTTCAGGGAACCTCATGGTCATGGTGCCAGACGAAGCACGTGGCATTCAATGACATATCTGGAACATACAGAAGCATTAGGCCTAAGCATTCAGAAGTGTTATGGAAGCAACTTAAAATCCACATACTGAGGGAAACAAACTGCACTGATCTCTAAAGAAACTAGCTGGATCAAAAGTGATCTGCCTTCCCACCACATATACCCATTTATAAAGGATTTCCTTTAGGCTGTCCTGCTTAACGCCCACAATCCTGCTGCTTTTATTCACAACACTGAGACCACCAAACCAGGCTAGAATACTAAAGGTAAGTGTGCTTTCAATGGACCATGTCTAAAAGGCTGAAGCATGGACTGACTGGAATTCAGCCATCTTGATTTACATAAGAATAACATACACTGCTGACATTTCTCAAAAACATTTGTTTCTACCAAAGCTACGTCTCCACTCTCTTCCTCTTCTCTCTCACTCCACTGACCATATAATAATTAGAGCATTAACTGTATGTTTTGCTCAACTGCCAAATCCGCAGGCTTCTGCATATCCAAGTCCAAAAAGAAAGTTGTCAGCAGCCCCTTTGAGATGAGCTCAAATGAACACACATCAGACTCAGCCAGTTTGATGAGTCTGCGATAGCTGTGTCACCAGAGTGTTTTATGAGAAGACTTGTCAGGACTAATATTCCTACAGGCATCCATAGCCAGTGTGTGCAGAACTGGGGAAATTACTGATTTCTACAGCGATAATATTAACCTTAACGTACACCATGAAATCCCATAGATTGAGCTCTATTTTTCAAAACGCAAGTGATCAGATGATTAAATCTGGGTTTAAAATTACGTTGATACACAATTTCCTGCCCATTATATGATTGTATTGAAATAGCTGCATTTCATTTTTTTGGTGACTTAGTTTTGACACATTAAAAGCCCCTTGAAAAGGATGTTAACACCGGGCGTCTCCGAAGGAATACAACCCATGAAGCAATATAAGAAACACACCAATGTGTCGACCACAGAACAGCTAGCTGGTGTCGACTTTAGCTGAGCAATCACTTTTTTACGTTGAGGAAGAAAAGCCATAGAGACAACCTGCTCTTACAAATAACTGGAGCAAGTTAAAAAAAAACTACTTGCGTTTCTTCCATTTTCAACACAAAAAACAGGTTTCCACGCTATGAAGTCTGTTGCCACTGGGCAAAGCAATGCTGAGGGTGTATGGCATTAGACATGCATTTGATGTTGTCAAGTCAGGACATTTTGAGCTGTTGATGGTATTTAGATTCAAATGACTCAACCTCAGATACTCTCATTCGGCTTCCGTGTCATCTCGGCTCCAGAGGGATCAAACCAAGTCAAGAAGCTGCCAGTGTTTCAGTATTTTCCTCTTTTCAAAAAAACTCAATCTAATTTCAATGTACAGTACTTAAGGCAAGATTATGATACAGTAGGCACCGCCTTCTGTTAAATTACTCACATAAAAGCTGACCTATATTTTACACTCTCTCGGGTCTTAAGTCACGAATAACTTACCAGCAAAAGTGTTTCAACATTTGGAGTGCTTTCTCTGGAAAAAAAAAGACTGGAGGGTGAGGGGGGGAGGCATTTGGTTAAAGATTCAGATCACTGACTCTAAAGTCTTAAATGGTTTCCTGGAATTGAGACAAAAAAATTTAAGATTACCGAGCTGCTCAGTATTAACTCTAAATCTTCAATGTAATACCACGTTAAAAAGACAGACTACCTCGTTTAATTACGCGTTTTCCTGGAGGTTGTGGGCTTGCGAAACTGAAGAAAATCCCTTCTGTGAATTTCAACATGGGGTGTACGTTCTCAATGGAAGACGGAACAGTTTGTGTGCAAGAGCAAAATGCCTTCCCCGTTCTTAGACTGTTTGATTTTAACAGGAAAGAAAAAACAAACAGCACCGTCCTGCATTGAGATCAGGCCATTTTCTAAATCCCCTGCTCTGCAAGCTCCTGCAAATGTGAGCTCTAAATTATCAAGTCAATTCCACCCATATCATGCCATAAATCCGAACAAATATATTAGCAGGCATTTGTTATATTTGGTTACTAACAGAGGCCTCACAGGCATGTCGCCGTTATTGTTCCATTCACGAACAAAGATCCTGATGACTTCAGCAGGTCTGAAATGAAAGCTTTAGCCATGACACTTTACCATAGAAACTCTCATCTATCAGGAATGTTATTTTTAAATGAATGGGGAGGGGGGTATTTTCAAATACACGCAACAAAAGGTGTCAGAAATCAAGCTGTCAGACACGGAAATTGCTTTGTTGTAGAGCAGGAGAGGAGAGAATTACACTGCACTGTTTTAACTTCACAGGAGAATCAGGCATCAGATAATATACAGTGGAAGAATAACTAATGAGCCTCTGACACTTCTTTAATTAAAGGTGGGGGAAAACAGCCTACCTAAAATAGTGTTGGATGACATGGTTTCAATACTCTTTTTATAGAAAGACCTGAATGCACGAAGAGAACTACAGTTCTGCTAAGATGAACTAACATCTGAGAATTCGAGAAATAGACAAAAGGAAAGTCTTCATCTGACTAATGAGCACAGCTGAATAGTTTTTAGACCATAGTCAGCATTTTACAGATAAACATACCATACAATCTTTGCCACAGTCTTCTTGGAATTTTATTGGTTAGACATTTTTTCTAATTTTGTTTTGCTGGTTCTAGCTGGGAACATGGAAACATTTGTGCTCATTTCCCTCTGCAGTGCCGGGAGGTTAGGTTTAAAAACCAGCAAAGTGCTGTATTACTTGTCCTGGTTTGGCTTCGCCTGCAGCTACATCATTACAAACATTAATACAGGAGTCAAGAGACAGTATCACTGGTGTACTATGACCTTACCCAACTCTCATGCAATTATCCTAATGACCAGCCCAAACGGCGCTCTGTAATTTACAGAATATAGCAGAGCTCCGAGAGGAGGGGGGGGAGACAGGAAAAGTACATGGAAATGAAACTGAATCTTGACTGGAATAACAATTTCAGACCTTTCAGATGTCACTTGGCAGACGTGTTAACACCTAATAAAAATACCTCCCAGACATAATGCTTTTGAGAAAACGAAGACTGAAAGGTGCCAAAGTAAGTTCTTTTTCTTCACAGGCTAGATGAAGAAAGGAGCAGGCAGTGCTACAGTGAACCCAAGCAGTCATAAGAATATGTTTAAACCCATATGTTTTATCTCTAACAGCAGCTTTATTAAACAGTCACAGCATGCATACTTCTGAAAAGATATTTAGAAGCAGCTGCTCAGAATGTGCAAATATTTAACAAACAGTTACACTGCCACTGTAACTGTGCTTCCCCATCATCCAGGTGGGGCTGCACACTGGTGGTGGTGGAGGGGAGTCCCCATTACCTGTAAAGCGCTTTGAGTGGAGTGTCCAGAAAAGTGCTATATAAGTGTAAGCAATTATTATTATTAAGTGCACACACCCTTAAGACAAGCTTGTTCCTAAATTTTGGAGATGTGCTGTGACTTGGCACCCAACTGGGCAAACACAGACTGGGAGAGAATTTATGGCAGACGGCACCAAACTGAACTTCCCAGCGAGAGAGGAATTCTGGGAACCTGTGAGACGGATACAGGAAGACAGTTCAAGCAGAACCCAACCCAATCAGAACACACCCAGCCATTTGTTGGAAGGTAGCTCAATAGGAAAGTCTCTCACAAAAGCGCAAAAAAGAAATTCAGGCGTCTGTCCATCAGAACGTACTTTTTTAGTCCCGATTTTTCCATAAAATGTCCCCTGACAAAATCAGAGTGCTGCTCAAATCATCTTAAAAAATAGTTTCCCCTCAAGACAGAATTCCTTTAACATGCAATTCCCATCCATGCTCAGGTGTGTGAATATAAGACACTCATATTACATGAGCTTGATTTAAAAAAAACAGGAGGAGATAGCTCATTAGCTGCAATGCTGAGGGAGGGGTCAGACATTCAAAAGACTACTCATTCTGCCTATTGCGGATACAAAGTCAACCTTAGCAACCACAGACAACCGTTTCACCATCATTAGTGTTCATCAAGACAGCTGACTCTGACCAGAGAAATACATTTGTAAGTGGATGTGTTAAGAGCATGCAGTATTTATGAATTATGGGAATGAATATTAATTCACTCCTGGCATTTCACAGGGTCTGTAGTGGCAAACCTTGGTGTTCCATTCACAAACTCACCACCCTGCCTTTTTCCTACCACCCTCAGTGTTATGA